AAAATAATAGGTCTTGCGATAACAGTATGTCATCCCGACTTCTGTTATGGACGACATAAAAAGTTTTAACATATAGCTACCGTGACGTATACCGGTAAATTGCTCCTTTGTATTATGTGCTAAAGACACAATACGTCTAATAGATAGAAACACTTGTAATGCTATTATAATACATATTTATGCGTCTTTAAATTGGACGCTTAGCGAAAAAATAATCACTACCTCATCAGTTTACGTTTAAGGTTGACACAGCGCCGGGATGTAGAATCGAGCCCGTACCGATTACAAAGCGAGCGCCCTACGACTAGGCTATCGCGACTGGTCTATTAGAAATGAGATTTGATTTTGGAGTTCCCTTATCTTTGAAATGTGCATCAAATCATTACTGGGGCAAAGTTTGGGACTATAGGGCTATAATTTTCGACCATCAATTTGAAGCTGTAAACATACCAGCAAGTAAATCTTTGTGTTTGGGTCATACATGTTTTTCAAGCATATTTGTTTTTCCTATCTCTGAAAACCAGAACCAACCAACAGTGGGTAAGGGTAGGAAATCTAATGAAACATGGAGAAGAGAACGAACAGTGATCAATCTCATCAAAAATTCAAACAATATAAATCTGTGAATATTGCATAAACACGGACACCTGGAAATTCCAGAGGTGGGATCAGGTGCATAGGAGGAGTGAACATCCCTTGTTGACCGGTCACACCCACCTTGAGTGGGTATTGATCAGGTAGACGGAACATTCCGTAGTCAAATTTGGTATGAAAAAAAAGTTGTACAATTGGTAGGAAACAGGTCAGCCAAAATATGACCCAGTAATACTGTAGGTTATATTTGCTTACAAGGTCATTGTAACGGCCATAAAATTTACGAAATGCTGACTTTATAGGAGATTGTTGAAATCCCTGTATCATCAACTTATGTATGAGTAGCCTGCCTCGGTTTAAAACCTGGTTGTACTCAGAGCATGTTCTTGCGTAGCGAATTAGATGGGAGACATAAACACCATATGCAGGTGAGAGCGGAATATTACTACACAAAAAAAGGAAGGTTGACGATGGAAAAGCTGATGTCATCTCTTTTGTCATACAATTTAGTTGTTAGTTGTTCTTTGTCGTCTTAAGTTAGTGAAACATCCAAATATGAAACAGATGTGGCACACTCTGTGGTGTTTTTTTTTTTTATTCAAGTTCTCTGGGATAAATCGAGTCTACATATAAATGGAAATAAATATTGATAATTGATAAAACGTGGTTTATAAATTTGATTACCGAGTTGAAAGCCACGGTAATTGTTTTCTTCTTTTGATGTAAACGTTTTTGAATAAATTCTGCTTCATATAAATATAAAAACAGGTCAGCTAATAAAGAAACACAATAAGTGCCCATTAGAATTCCGTCAGTTTGTTGGAAGACTTGGTCTCCGAAGACTACATAAATGTTGTTAGTAAGGAACACCAGCATCTTTTTAATATCAACTTCAGAGTACTTGTGTGTAGGGTTAGGGCGATTTTTAAAGTAAATTTGGTGATGCCCAATCACAAGATGTGAAAATTCCGAGTTTTTGAAGAAGCAGTTGTCTATGTTATCAAAAAGCCTTGTTTTAATTGGCCGTGAAGAATTGTTGTAACTAAGGGAGAATCCCTTATCAGGTATGGAAGTGTCTATGGTATTGGACTGGTTTAATATTCGCATCGATTTTGTGGAATTTTTTCACATTGCGTAGTATTTTAGAAGTTACATGTAAATCTCGGCTAACATTTCATTTACATTTGAAGGGGGTTTGGGGTTGGGGGGGTTGGAATACGATTGGGATACTAATTTCAACTTTTAGATTTCTGTTTGCTTTGAAATGTGCAAAAAATTACAAAGTGTGTATGAGAATATTAATCCCACAGACCCTTCCAAAAGTTAAAAATGATTTTAAAGGCGCCTTACTTTGCCCCTGTAATAATTTGATGCACACTTCTAGGAAAAGGATGATAAAAAGTCTATAAAGTCATTCCTACCCTCCCCTTCTGGTGTTGAAAGATGGCGGGGAAATATATGCTTGAAATATTCCCCCGCCCGGGGCACCACTTGATGGTACCTCTACTGTCCCAATCACAGAGCAGGAAATTGTAGTTTTATAGGCTCTCTGTTCTGTCTAATCAACACTTTCAAGATATGGTAAATAAGTATTGATCTTCAAATTCTATCCTACCCCGTTTATGCTTGAAATTACAGGTATTAAGCTCAGTAACTTTTTTTCTCCGTAAGTTATTACCAGCAACGGTTGTGGACATTTGATGTTTTATTGGGTCAGAATTTTCCTTCACAGTATATCTTAGTACAAAGACATGGATATACTTACTTACGCAAGAATTACTGCTAGATTCCCAGAAAAAATCCGAACAACACTTACTAACACCAATCAAACTAAAATGAAAAGTGAGAGTAATTTACATTCATATAATGTATTAAAAAAAAAAAAAAAAAAAAACGGCGAATACATTATTTGTAGTTTATCGTATTCAGAGGTACAAAAGTCATAAGTATTTCTTTTCCAAAAAATACATTTATATTACAATGGTGAAGCGTGAATCATTTCTCTCGAATTGCAAACAACTAACACTACATTTTCGTCTCTTTTTTTTTTCTAAGAGTTCGCTGATTGACTGATCATGTAACTGATAAACTGATCGACGACCCTGTAGAAATTCAAGTAATACTTACATTTCGATGCAAGTATATTGCGTGGTACTTTCATCTAAACCAAAATATGTTGAATGTATGAGTATACAAAGCAAAGAGAAAACATCTCGATGTATCATATTGTAAAATTTAAATAAAAATGGATGCAGAATGTTTATATTTTATCTTCCTTATTCAGCATGACTTCGTTTGACTTGTGTTTCCGTTTACAATTATTTGTTCTTTAATATATATATATATATATATATATATATATATATATATATATATATATATATATATATATATATATATATATATATATATATATATATATATATATATATATATATATATATATATATATATATATATATATATAATGTACATTTTTCTACTTATTTATTTATTTATTTTTTTTTTTTTTGGGGGGGGGGTCTCAAATTACCCCTTGTTTGAAATCACATTAGCAATATCTTAGCTAAAAATAGCATTTAACAACAATATACTTGTTTATGCTGAATGAATCCGTATAATGCTTATTATATGGTTTAATGATCTTTATCCTAATAAATCAGCTTGTTTGCTCCTGCTATTGATAAACGAGTATTATGGATATCAGAGTTTTTTTGTTTTTGTTTTTGTTTTTTTTTCTTTTATGGATGCATGTATTGTAACTTTACGTAAACGCATTTTTTCCCAGGGGGTAAACATTTTACGGAATCATATTTCTTGACAAATTTCTTTGGCTTTGAGAGCAGTGGCAACTTCTGGGACATTTCCGACGAATGGAGAAAAATACCTCGATGTGACATGTACAAAGGCGTCCATGACACTACCTCCTCCACCCTGTATAATCATTGAAATAAGTGTAGGGAGGCCACTTATATGTAGATTCTGAACCTCTGCTGGAATGGTGCCATTGCTTTCGAGCTTACATTTGTAATTATCAATGACTTCACATGAATATGAATATGTTCATGGACAAATGAGAGAGTTTTTTTTTTTAATATGTCCATAAAACTTTACTACAAAATCGTGTTTCATAAAATTTCCAGCGTGAAAAATGGTGGAAGCTTGACTGGACAAGTGTTTTAGCGGAAAGGAGAGAGAAGTACACCGTACAACAAAAATCAACCATTTAGATAATCAATTTTGTATCTCAAATGATGCAATTCTATGGTGAAGAAACTACAAAGAGAACTTGTTTGTTGAAACTTTTGTATTGACCCAAACATCCCTGAAATGCTTAAAAAAATCTGGAACAAGAGCAATAAAAGGTAGCATTTCATCTCGTTTCTTAATACTTCAATGAACATTTTCTAAAGATCCGTAGATTTAGATTTTTTTTTCCATTAGCTTCGATTGGCGTTTAAATCACAATTGACTTTCTTAAAATTGAGCATGTTTCTGTTGATGCTGTAAACCATCCAGGTTCCATTTCCCAAATTGATTACAGATACCAGACAGATCCTAGAATTTTTTTTTTCAATTTTTGACTTATTATGCATGTATGCATGTATGAATTGTTAATTTGGAAGGGAAGAATGTTTGTTTTATTTCCGAGATAATACAACATAAAAACTGTGGTCTGACCTTGTAGCATCATTAACATAATGATGAAGCTATTAGATAAACCTATAAATGATTGATTGTTTGTTGTTTTACGTCCCATTCGAGAATTTTTCACTCATATAGAGACGTCACCATATACCGGTGAAGGACTTCAAATTTTGACCTTTACTCGGCACTCAGGGCCATTGAGCACTGAGGGATCTTTATCGTGCCAACGCCTGTCGTGCCTCGTTTTTTAAGGTTTCATCCGAAGGACCGGCAACTTTCACTTCAAAGTACCGAACGCATGGCGAAGGAACAGTTGCTACCCATTTTATATCGATTTAGGTCAGTCACAGCCGAGATTCGAACTCACGACCTCCCTATCACGGAGCGAGCGCTCTATCAACTGAACTACCGTGAACGGTAAACAAACCTATTTCCACTACATGTACAAGTTTGCATATCGGTCCATCTGACTTAATATTGCTATCCTGTTCAACAGAAGAAGTTTTCGAACATTTTCCCTACATATTAATATATAATTCTTTGTCATCATGTTGTAGCCCATATTGGCTTAATTAAGTCGTATATTTTTATGAGTAAAGATTATGTGAAGTAGTAACTAGAATTTGTGAAAATGTTGTTTTGCTTATATTTACCAAATACCTATCTCGCGAAAATAAGGAAATTTGGTGATCTACAGTATATCTTAATACTTAAAACAATAGAACATGAAAAAAAGATAATACTAAAAACAGTTATACCAATAAGGCTTGTTTTTGCCTGATGTAATCACGTCTCATACGGTGTTTTCCTGTTGAACTTCAGAATACTGTTTCTTCTCAATGTTTCTTAAATTTCCTAAGTAAATACGAAATATGTTTAAGAAATATGGTTTGAGATATCTATTTGTATACTTTAACAAATAGTTTCATGATGTCTAAGGAAAAATATTTAATAAGAGAGTGGTTTGAAAATATTTTTTTTATTTTAAATGGAAGGAAGTATGTTTATATAAAGATACCATTTTGTTTTAATCTCCAAAGGAAAACTCCAATCCCAACTCCTACAACTAAAATTATACTTATCGAAATAGCTATAATTTCACTTTTCTCTAACACAGCCACTTCTTTCCCAGATCTAAAAAAATCAAATACATGCAATTACGACAATAATTATCTTATATATTTTGTGTAGCGATAAAAACAGAAAATCAGATGAGTTAATCGAGTCCTTAAACATAAAAAAAAGAAATGCGTTAATATATATTTACATCTTTAAGTCATAAAATATGATTACCGTTGACCTACTGGTCCGACACAATCTTCTGTTCTTGTACTATTTGTATTATTTCTTGCAGTTGTCTCTGCCGTGCTCATTGTCGTGGCTGTGATCATTTGATAACAACCGGGGTCTGGAAAACCACATCAAGTAGAGAAACATATCAGTATTAATTCAACATTATTACTGAAATGATTTGCATTTTCATGTGCTTATTTCACATTAATAAAAACATTGAATTTTTTTTTTTTGGGGGGGGGGGGGGGAATCCATCATGAAATTCATGGATAAATGAGAATAAATTACACAAGTAAGATTTGGTTGAGTTGTATGAGGTGGGACATGGATTGTTTAAATTTGTACAGTCAGCTGTGTAGCTCTTGCGAATGCTCTGGAGTCCAATATTAAAATCGGTGCATTTCCCCGCTGCAATTGAACAAAAACCTTATGATTACAAAATTATTTAACCGTTTATACGAATGTGATGATAATACACACAGTTCATAGCAAATTTGCTATGAAAAATAGACTCATATCTTCATCTCACAAAAATAGATCTTCAAAATAATTTTAATATCGAATTACGTACAGCCATTCCATCAAATTACGTACATAGAATGATACGAAAAGGTGCGCACACTTCCAGAAGTCCAGACATTCGTTCATTCATAACACAGTGGTATTCAAAGGATCTGCATTCTTCTGTGTGTTGAGTGCATTTTTTTCGCAAAGCCGCTTCCATGTATTCTTGTGTATTTGAAGGGCATCTTGAAACATATTCAATAGTTTCTAAAGACTCCTTATAGGCATAGTTTGGAAGTCGTACACTTTTTGTTCCTGTGCAGGTGATCCAAAGTATTATGATAAATATCTGCAAAAATAAGTTTTTATCGTACGATTTAATAAGACTACTTGTGTCACAAATACTGAATACAAATTGACTTTTCCAGAAGGAGACCACTTTTCTCTTTGACTGCGACAACTTAATATGTTCTTTTTTCCAAACGATAAAACACAAACAAAAAGTCAAGATGAATCACTGTAAGCGAAAACCTCATTAAAATCAACATTCTTTTAAAGCTGTTGGAGTTCAGGACTCTTGAAAATCTTAGAAACGATATACAACTCTTTGGATGTCGTTGATGATCTGGAATATCATAAAGGAACTGAAGATTTAATTTTCTGCTTAAAAAACGTTTGAAAGTAGGATTGTTCATCTTTTAAATATATTCGTCAGTCAAGGCCTTAGTACTAAACCCCAACAAAGTTACATAATATATAATCATTTAGTCTTAATATTGTCAATAAATGATGCTTGAATAGTATGCTAAAATTATCTTTTTCATATTTTTCTCTTGAGGATTATCAAAATGCGCCTTCAACAAACAAGCAATGGGCTATCTTGATATACAATTTGATCTATTCTAAGGGTGAAAAAAAATGAGAAGAGATATGATATAGAGAGTAATGGAATTTAACGATTATATCAAATTCAATAATGTTTACTTGTTATTCACAATTTTGGCAAATGAGTTTTATAGTTAATAAGGCATTTATAACAAATTTTGTCATGTTAACAGAAAGGAAATTAACACTCAACGTAATAATGGTTTTATCTAGCCTTATATGCAAAATCAATCGATTGCAAGACTGTTGAGTATAGATACTGTTTATGTATTACAGTTTGTAGAATTATTCTTCTATTGTTATCACTTTCAAATATTGATTAAAGCCTTTAAACAATAAGAAATTTAGTACGATGTTAACATTCTGAAAAAAAAAACAATTACGTAAATTTTATCTAGAAAGAAATCTATTTCTGAAATATCAGTTAACCTCTATCCTCATAAGACTTACAAGAAATTTACTTATGTTCGGTATTTAGTATGTAGAAAATTACTATTTTTATTATTTTTATCTAAACTAAGAATGCGCAATACAAACACCAAAATAAATGTAATATTTGATACACAGGTATCATGAAAATGAGCGACAATAGCAAGATATAAGCGGAAACCACAGCTCTCACCCTAGACCAAAATAAGTCTTTGTGTGTGTGTGTGTGTGGGGGGGGGGGGGGGGGGGGGTAATGTGAAAATCCTTATTCAAATTTGAAGTATATCAAGAGTTATTTCTCTTTCCGTGTTGCAATGCCGTCAATTGGGAAAAACGAAGCGTAAAAAAAGCAATGCTAGCTTTAAGATGAATGTTCAAAGTAAAATGAGCTGTTATTAATCGTATTACTGATAACTGAAATGACATATGTTGAAAATGATTTTGAAATCATTGGATTTTATTGAGAATTAGAAACGTTTGTCTCCATATAAAAAATTGACCATGTTGGCAATAAATATTAATTAATTAATTAATTAATCCTGCTAAACGACAAAGCTTAATGATGCATTTAATTTTTTAGACAAATAAGGAAAACATGGTGGGTGACCGTTCAACAGGGGATACTTACCTATCCACTGAATCTGACCCCAGTTCTGATGCTTTCAGAGGTTTTTGTTGGTTATACTTACAATTTATTCTATTTAAGTGAACCTTTGTTCATGATTACATTTCGCTTTTATGTTTCATTTTGAATACAGTCTTCTATTCAGTGTAGCCAAAGTTGCCGAGGTACCTTTTAGACGCCTTTGCGCTATGTTCCTTTTGGATATGAAGAAAGTCGGTTATAAGAAAGCAAAATTTAAAGCCTAAATTTTTACTATATATATATACATTTCTGCAATATTTAGAAATAAGTACGTTCAAAATGGTTGATATTTTGGGGAAAAACTATCTTCCTTTATTTAATGCAATGCATTTCTTAATTCACTAGGCAAAAGACAAACAACCCTTTGATCAGAAATTTCACAGCGAAATAGGCTTAAGAACAATTTAATACCAGTCCATGTTTGTCAGATTTCATTATGCTACAAAAGAATATATATATAAAAAAACCTCACGTATCCTAAGTAAGTACACCATATATAAATAAAATTATGCAGATTCAAATTTACCTGAAATTTCAGATTGAATGAATTAAGATTTTTAGATCCACATTTACATCCTATACAATAAAACATGCTCAAAGCGAACGGGCTTATAATGGTTTGAGTGATTTTCATTCTTCTTGACTTCAAATATATTAAAGACTTCAGAGGTATAACGAATTACGCTTATAACGAAACAAAATTATCCCCCCTTGGCACTTAGCTTAACTGTATATATGTCCCTCCATGGTTACGACTCTGATTAGCCGAATTTAAATACAAATTAATTTTTAAATTGCTCTGTGGTTGATCAAATTATTGTCAGACATCAACAGGGAGCATTCTAATGAAAAACGAAAACGGTATTGTAACTTTGTACCTTGCAAACTTCTTGATTAGCATTTGAACGGGCTTATAATAGAATTTTCTAGTAGCAAACAAAATAGGTCGAGCTCTATATTTTGGGGTAAATCCCCATACACCCTTGACTGAACCTAGATAACGAATTCATTTCCTATGTACCCAAATAAATTCTTTGTAAACAAGTCCAATATCAACTGTGTTTCAAGCTATCGATAAGATTTACTACGTCCTACAATGCGTCGTGACGTCATGTTATTCGCTTTTATCATAGAGAAACTATGCATTATTACGTCACTTTTTTTAACCCCCGGGCTCAAGTCGGGTGTACGGAAATTTACATCCGATTTTGTAACCAATCAAAGCTCGTATTACGAGTTACATAGGAAATAAGGTGTTTTTCCATTGCTTGTGTGAAGGTGGGGGTGAGTTGCGCATCATAAATCTTTTTTATTTAGATCTGATAATCAATCAGTAGTGCATATCGTCAATTCGATGACAAAATCAAAATCAAAGTTATTATTTTTCAAGTTACTTTTAAAATTCATGCATTTGAACATTTCATTTAAAGCTCAACACGTCTTTGGTTTTCAGAACTCTTTGAAGGACAGTTTGTCACGTTTACAATTTCCGTGATATAACAAGTTGGCTCTAGACGCAGTCAGTCAGCCGACACCATATCAAACTGCACTATATGGGCTATATTCTCGACGAAATCACTCGATTATTAGACAAAGCATTTTCAGCGAACACCAAGACTGTATTTTTACAAGCATAAAAGAATTTCAAGGTTTTCAGAATCATGACAAATCTATCTGATAAATGGCAAGTCCTGTCAGAACATTTTCTGTTTTATGTATAACATCATTCACGTAAAGGTTCAGTAGCTTCAGAAGTTTCATCATAAATTGCAGGTATAACCTATGTACATAAACTGAGACAGTGGAGCTCTCCTTCTGATTTATTTATAGTAAGAAGTTCTCAGAAGGGTTGGGGAGATTAAAGAGAACAAAAGACTACCAAACGCCTATTTCAGAGGAGCTGCTCGTTAAAACCTTAACGCTCTACATGAATTGTGTTATTTGGAATATAAAAACATGATTGTTTAGATTTTTTTTTCTTTCCCTTTACCGTATATACTCGCCTATAAGTCTTTTTTTGGGAGTTAAACTTGAGTCCAAAATTCTTAGTCAAACTAATACGCGAATTATAAAAAGATTGGTTATTTTAGCGTGTCAACGCCTCTAATTCAAGCTTAAAAAATACAACCGACTTATAGGCGAGTATATACGTATACGCTGCTATGTTAAGGCTGTCCGAATGTTTAATATGTATTAAAAATATATAAATTTTATTTTGAGCTAGATTTTAATTTTAATTTGTAATCTATGTATGAATTTGCAGTCAACTTGTGATGAGAGTGTAATCAGGTTATAATAATGCACTTTTTTAATGTCACCATGACTTTGTTGATCACGTGACGGTCACTTATAAATTCTTAAATGTTGCACAAAAATCGCATCGGCACAGGTGCAAAACAACATTATTAAGAATTAATTGTCATAAAAGTCAATTCATTGTGATCTTTGGTACGTAGAAAGTGCTGGGGGCAAGTATGAATTTTACTTTTTGAGAAAATATTCCACGAGAAATTCAACTTACCCACATACAATGGGGCATTTCCCACTCTTTATCGCAATTTATACAAAATAAGATAAATTACATACAATCCCCCAACAAAATTCAGTTAGAGGACATACTTCTCTAGTAGATTCATACTGAATATCTTCAATTTATCCTTATTAATCACTTCTGCCTGTCAAATATATATACACGATTTATAAATTCTACCTTTGTCCACGGACGTGTAAGGCGGAGCGTTTCACAGTTATTTTTTTTTTTTTTTTTTGTTATTGTTTGAATATATGCATATCAGACAAGTTAAAAGAGTAACGATATTAAATTGCAAATGTTCAACTTCATAACAGCACACTTAAGATTAAAGAACAATCCAGACACTTGAATCAAACAACAACGTTGAAAAATCTTTACCTGTCATGCGAAAGGAAGGTAAAAGTTATGACACTTTCCCCGTCATTTCAGCTCAAGTATGCAGTGACTTGACGTCATATGCTATTATGACGTCATATCTAGGTAGTTCAGAGAAGTTACTACTGTTGGAACAGTTTGATATTTTACAAACAGCCTTATCCTAGCCGCGTATACGGTAATGGTGGGGAGAGTAAGTGTATACTTTAGAGCATTGCGTCCATGTGCCATTGACAATTAGAGATGTAAAATGTTGCACGTCCAAAAGCTTTCCATGTGTCTATCTCTTAACGATTCTCGAAAACTCACCAAAAGAGAAAAGGAACTTGTAATTTACATCAAAGAAACATTTGCTCTGTTTATAACTTGCATTGAGACCACGCGTTGAGGGTTCATTATTCGTGCACAGTGATAAATCTACGCAAACTAGATTTCAGTTTATTGCAGTCCTCCAATTTTTTTTTTCTTACAAATCGCACTGTTTTAGAATTGGAGGTGAAATGTG